ATTCTGTGCCGCCCGCCTGTAGCCGCGGCCGCCCCTGCCGGCTCCGAGAGCGACCATCGCCGCTCCGGTACGGCCTCTTCACCGCTCCGCAGGGCCACCCGGAACCGCTCGTCAGTTTTCCGGATATCCCTCTCTATGGCTCCGCAGTATTTCAGGACGCATGAAGCGCCCCTCAGTCCTCCGAAGCCAGTCTCTATGGTCGCGAGGTCCTCCGGGAACGGTGGAAGCGATCATCAGACTTCTAGAAATCACGTGCTATCTGCATACTTCGAAAACTACAGACAATGGTTTAACGATTAACCAAAAAATTATCTGAAGATTACAAAAATTGGTAAATGGGCGGGAGATGAGAATCGGCGCACGGAGGCTGTGGTTTCAGGCAGTACCTCGGCACATACGGTTTCGCTTGGTTTTTGCAGGTGCTGCACGCGGGCTTGGAGGGGCGACGTCGCACGCCAACGAGCGGCTGGAGTCGGTGAGGCTGTCGTGGGCCGGGTTGGTGTCTTTCGGCCAAGTATTACATGGCACCTCAGTGAAGCGTTTCTTTCTAATTTTGCAGGCACTGTCAGGCCGCGCTCAGAAGCGGGGACGGATGAGCTGGGACTGGAAGTTTGGATGAGCGTGGTTTTTATAGGGACCACAAACGGTGACTGCTGAAGAGTCCAACTCTGGAATCGGTGCAGAGCAGGTGAGCGGAACGACACAGCGCATCTGAGGAGGGGGCTGCGGCCGGAAAAGTCCATGTTGACCTTTGCGTTGCTCACTGTTGCGTGTGGAATGGGTTGATTCCTAGGGTTCTGTAGGGGCCTGCAGGTGCCTGTAGGGGTCTGCAGGGCTCTGTAGGGGTCCGTAGGTGTTTTCAGGGGTCTGCAGGGCTTCGTACGGGTCTGCAGGGGTCTGTAGGGGCCTGCAGGGGTCTGCTGTTTTTTGTAGGGGTCTGTAGGGGTTCGTAGGGGGTTTCAGGGGTCTGTAGGTGTTTGCAGGGGTCTGCAGGGCTGTGTAGGGCTCTGCAGGGGTTTGCAGGGGTCTATAGGGCTTCGTAGGGGTCTGCAGGCATCTGTAGGGGTTGGCAGGGGTCTGTAAGGTTCTGTAGGGGTTGGTAGGGGCGTTCAGGGGTCTGCAGGGTTCTCTAGGGCTCTGCAGGGCCCTGCAGGGGTTCGTGGAGGTCTGCAGGGCACAGCAAGGTTCTGCAGGGCTCAGCAGGGGTATGTCGGGGTTCTGCAGAGGTCTGCAGGGTTTTGCAGGGGTCTGTAGGGGCCTGCAGGGGTCTGCGGGTTTTTGTAGGGGTCTGCAGGGGTTCATAGGGGTCTGTAGGAGTTTGTAGGGGTCTGCAGGGCTCAGCAAGGTTCTGTAGGGGTCTGCAGGGCTCATCAAGGGTCTGCAGGTCGTACGGGTCTGCAGGGGTCTGTAGGGGCCTGCAGGGGTCTGCTGTTTTTTGTAGGGGTCTGTAGGGGTTCGTAGGGGGTTTCAGGGGTCTGTAGGTGTTTGCAGGGGTCTGCAGGGCTGTGTAGGGCTCTGCAGGGGTTTGCAGGGGTCTATAGGGCTTCGTAGGGGTCTGCAGGCATCTGTAGGGGTTGGCAGGGGTCTGTAAGGTTCTGTAGGGGTTGGTAGGGGCGTTCAGGGGTCTGCAGGGTTCTCTAGGGCTCTGCAGGGCCCTGCAGGGGTTCGTGGAGGTCTGCAGGGCACAGCAAGGTTCTGCAGGGCTCAGCAGGGGTATGTCGGGGTTCTGCAGAGGTCTGCAGGGTTTTGCAGGGGTCTGTAGGGGCCTGCAGGGGTCTGCGGGTTTTTGTAGGGGTCTGCAGGGGTTCATAGGGGTCTGTAGGAGTTTGTAGGGGTCTGCAGGGCTCAGCAAGGTTCTGTAGGGGTCTGCAGGGCTCATCAAGGGTCTGCAGGGTTTTGCAGCGGTCTGTAGGGGCCTGCAGGGGTCTGCGGGTTTTTGTAGGGGTCTGCAGGTGACTGTAGGGGCCTGCAGGGGTTTGCAGGGGTCTGTAGGGCTTTGTAGGGGTCGGCAGGGGTCTGTAGGGTTCTGCAGGGGTCTGTAAGGTTCTGTAGGGGTTGGTAGGGGCGTTCAGGGCTCTGCAGGGGTCAGCAGGAGTTTGCAGGGGCCTGCAGGTGCCTGCAGGGGTCTGCAGGTTTTCGTAGGGGCATGCAGTTGCCTGTAGGGGTCTGTAGGGCTTCGTAGGGATTCGTAGAGGTCTGCAGAGGTCTTTAGGGGTCTGCAGGGTCTGTAGGTGTCTGTAAGGGTTCGTAGGGGTTCGTAATGGTCTGCAGGGTTCTGTAGGGGTCTGCAGGGCTCTGCAGGTCTCTGTAGGGGTTCGTATGGTTTCGTAGGGGTCTGCAGGGGTCTGTAGGGGTTCATAGAGGTCTGCAGGGGTCTGTAAAGGTTTTTTTGGGGTCTGCAGGGGTCTGTAGGGGTTTGTGGGGGTTCGTAGCGGTCTGGGGGGGGTCTGTAGGGATCTATGAAGGTCTGTAGGGTTCGGTAACAGTCTGTAGGGGTTTGTAGGGGTCCGTGGGGATCTGCAGGGGTTCATAGGGGTCTGTAGGTTTCCTCGTCGCCTCGTCGTCGCCTCGTCGCCTTTGTGGTTCACATCTTCCCCAGCAAAACCACATGCAACTCAGGAGGGTCCGAAAAATACAGATGCGTTTCCCCGATTTCGTGGGGGTCCCAGTTGCCCAGGCGGATTCCTAAGGTGGGGTACGAGATTTTCCAAGGGGGAGAGGGGAGGCAGGTGTTTGGGGAGCCCCAAAACTTCGGGGGGGGGTGTGTGTGTGTTGTAGAAAATCAAGGGCGGGGGAAACCAAAGCATTCACGGCTGCCCCCCACCCCAAATGCCCCCCCCCATAGCCGCATGCGACTCGGGAGGGTGTGAAAAATACGGTGGCGTTTCCCGGATTTCCCCAGGGGTCCCAGGGGCCCTGGGCGGTTCTTAAGGAGATGGACGTCATATAGATACTTGCTGGCTTTCAAGAGTATATTATCCGATTTTAGAAGATACAGACCACTCTACACTGAAGGGCCTCATCGAGACCCTAACCAATCAGCTTAATCAAATAGATGGACAGGAATCATCACTTTGGTAACAGAAACCTCATTCAGTTTTGTAATGTATGTTTTTTAGCAATCACTGAGAAGTCAATGTACTTTATCAAAATTAGTCAGTGGGTTCGTCCTCCTTCCATTAAAATGCTGTTATTTGAGTGTCAATTAAAGGTGCCTATTTATTGGTTTGTTCCTGTTTTCATAATGGTAGTACTTTTCCAGTTATAACAAGTTAATGATTTGTTCTGGCTGCCTTGTCAAATATAGGACTTAAATATACCTTTGTCCATGATAAGTGCTTAAATAATACTGTTGACTTTATTCTTGTGCTGTTTCCATGTCATAAGTTTTAAGCAACAGCTTTCTTTGTTCAAATTCATTTTAGAGGTCGTATAAATTACTTGATAATTTTCTGACTATATATTGTTCATTTGAATTGTGGTTAATAACAAAGCTGACTCATTTTGTGCTGACATCTGAAAAGCAGACTACGTAAAGTGGAATGCAAGTGCAATAATAAAAGATCTTGGTATCTCTGAACTTGAGAGATGATTACTTAAGTAGTTAGAAACTAGGGTGTTGCAGCATGTAATGATAAAGTTACACTACCAAAAGGTGGAAAACAAACAGGCAGGGACCTAATGACATTATGACAGTGCTGTTAATCATTTCCAGAGACATTAAACTTAGAATGTTAAAACTGAAATAACATTTAGATCTTCTTAAAGGTCAGCACTTAAGATGACATAAAGGCACTATGGCAGCATGGACTCGTGCCCACGGGTGAGTGGTGATATAGCACCTCCTGGGGAGGAAACACAGAGTTAAATCAGGTGGTAATCGGGAAGGCTCGTAAAGGAGATGCAGATTCTAAATAGTCTCCGGACCTTTCTCAAGTAGGAAGAGTAAAATGTGTAACATTTTCCCTCTACGCAAGTAGAGGCCCCTTTTGCTGTCTTCCCCGCCGAATGTAAGCTTGTTGCATGTGGTCACTAATGGATGACTGAATTATGGCCGACAATGTTATATGGCTCTAACGGTAACATCCACTCACACAGCTTAATATCTATTTTTTTGTTTTGCCTAAGAAACTGAACGTGCATTTAAAAGCAATTTACATTAATGCAGTATTGCCTTCAGGCAAACATCATTCCTCCTTCTTGTGCTTTTGAACAGCCCAGCTATTGTTTGAAGCGAGTCACCGAAACAGCTGGACTCTGGTCTTGCGGGTGTATGATTGTTACAAAACGGTAAAGAATTTTCTGACAGTTTTAGTTCAATCTGTTTTCACTTTGAATTGGCACTAGACAATGAAGAATTGTGTTCTGGTATTTAGATGAAGTGCTCTGAAGTGCTTAATTTCTGTCTGGCTTTCGGTGATGCGTTTTTCTGACAGTCCAGTAGCATCTGACTTGGGCAGTGCTGCCAGCCAGATGTCCCTCCTCACTGTGTAGCGCACAGAAAAACCCTAGTCAAATTATAACTCTGTGTTTTGGATAGGAATAGCATAATGGTATCGATGCACAGCTGTGAAAGTTAAATGAGTGCCAAAGGAAAGCCAAATACTTCTATAGTATTTTTATTGGATGTAAATAATGTACACACGTTTTCAGTATGAAGTGAATGACCAAGCTTTGTTCTTTATTGTTCTTTGTACTCTTCAAGGTTTCAAGGATTAAAAAATAACAAAACCCGTAAATATGAGCGTGAAGTGTTGAAATAGAGAACAATCTCTCATCTCATTTATATATAGATGGAAAAGTAATATTTATGTATATAAAAGGAGTTCAGAACAAAATCCTATGTCTCTAAGGATTCTGATTCTGTGATTCTATATTATAAAAAAAATATATTAGTGTCAAAATAGATGTCTAAGATAGTTTAAGTAGATATTCTACATAATAAGTGTTAATGTCAATGTGCAAGTCTAAGCCTCAACAGGTTTGCAGCAGGTGGTGGAGCCGCCTGAGGGGAAGGGCCCAGCCCCGAGTCTGGTGGTTTGGTGCATTTTTTGGGGTGAACGAAAACAATGTGTGGGTGTGACGATGTCATTTGGGGCAGCCCGATGTCACCGGGGGAGCAACGGTGCGACTGAGGAGCAGGTGAGTGGGGATTATGTGGGCCTCCCCCCGGAAGAAGCAGGTCACAGCCCTCAAACGTCTGAAAATTTGGGGTGGGGGGGTGGGGAGTGGGTGTTGGGTTTTGGGCGTTGGTGGTTTAAAAATGTTAAAAGCTGTAAATGCAGGGGAGGCATTGGAATAGAGAACAATCTCTCATTTTTCTAGATATTGAAAAATAATATTCCTGTATGTATATAAAAGGAATTCAAAATACCAACCTGTATCTCTAAGGATTCTGTATTACATAAAGGAGTTTAGACAATGAAAAGATTTTTTAAAATTTATTTATAAAGAGATACTGAAGTGTCAAAACAGATGTCTAAACAGCTTGCTAG